TGCATTAAAATCTATACAAATACTAGTTAAATGTTTGTCTAAATACAGAGGGGAAATAATGCCATCTTGCAAAATAAATCTCAAATTAATCACCATCTTGTCAGTATTTTCACATCTTACATTTAAAAGCTGTTTAAGTAAATTACGACCTTAAAACATGTCCGAACCTACCTAAAATTGCATTTCAATTCAAAAAGGAACCACAGTTTTTTGAAAAAATGGTTTCATTTCTGTGTGTAGCTTAGAGCTGCTTGCACAAACCACTTCTTGTGCCTACAAGCCAATCCTCTTCAAAGTTTCTGTAGTCATCTCAATCATTAAATTTAACTTTTAATCATCTGAATATGCAGTAAATCATAAAATGCTCAATCTTTTACCTGATCTATTAAAGTTGCAACAACCTGTTAGCCATCTACCCATTTCAGTAGTTTACAAAACATTTGTAAAATGCGTGCAGAGTTTTAAAATTTAAGTACATTTGGAATTAAGTCAGCCCACTCTTGATTTAATGCATTTACAGCAATACCTTGAATTGGGTAGTTCTGAAAATACTGTTAAATGCAAAATTGGATATTACCCAGCAATAAATTTGCAGTAACACTAATTCTCGCAACAAGATGATTTATAGACCAAAAACAAGTAATCCAGCTCAAAATTATACATAGGGAATAGAATCCACTTAAAAGATATCCCCACTACTACAATGTTGTCTGAACTACTTCATTACTTGGGACAAAAATCAGTAGATAAAAACAATACTAACAGAATCTGATGAGTTGCTACATGATTCATGGGCAAGAAAAAAATAGAGCAAACAAATTATAATATTCAAAAAGATCCATGAGATATTTGAACCTGGTTATAAATAAAACGCAAAAAGAAATACCTTCAAGCAAAAAGGAATCTTGAAATAAGTTGTATTTTGAACAGGACAGATTTGCAACACAAGACTTGGTTTGGCTACAGTTACAAATTAAAAAGACTGAACTAGAAACAATACAGGTTCCAGTAGTTGACTTATGAGCATTTAAAGGAAAAATATTAAAAAGGAAAATACATTAACTTGTAATACTACATTTCTGGTCTCCATAACTCTCAGCAATTGATATTTACTTCTGGGTGGGGGGGCAGATAGGGAGGGCGATCACAAATGAGGATGTTAACATTGGAAAAAGTCAAACATCTTTCACCTTGGGTATCAGGTGTAATCAAGCACTACCACACCATTCAACTATATTCAAAAACTCTTAACATAATAAGGAAATTAAGATTACGACAAATTCAAATGATTGGAAAATATTAAAACTGATGTGTGAAACATGCATGTTGGTTATTTCTCATTTGTCCTAAATTTTGATTACATTCTGCACTGTTACAACAAGTTGCCACCATGTCACAAATCCAAGTGCATGCATGACCCTCTATGCGGCTGCCTTTTCACCATGGTCTTGTTCATATCCTAGTGGCCATGAGGTTGGGCCATGTGATATATGCTCGAGCCCATCAGTCAAGGTATTGAAATCTTACTTTTACTGAACTATTTTGGTTTAATTTCAACTACACTTTTTTGAAAAAGTTAAGTACCGCCATTCTCCACTCAAAGATGGTGCTGATTTCGGCCTGGTAATTCTGGGGTAGCCTTATTGGTTCAATCAAAACAGGCAAGGCTCAACTCACATTCCTAAAGGAGGTGCAGGTTCAAGTGCAATCTGTTTCAGGAGGAGTATGTACTAACATCTTTGAAGATGTTGATTAGAAAATATTACCAGGTAGATAATTTATCATTTCTAATTTCTCTTGAAGCATTAATGTGCTAAATTATAGGTACTATGAGATGTACCCAAAGAATCATGTAAAATACATTTTGGCAATTTTATCCCAAGATCTTTAACTGGTAGAGAAAACAATTTTTTTCTGCACCTATGAGTCCCTATCCAGAGACCAAAAAGTAAGAGCTGGCGTCCCTACCAGTTGAGATTGTAAATACAAGAATTCAACAATGTCTTGCTGGCCAGAAAACTGCATACACAAATTACTGAGCAAAATGTTTGGTATAGAATTTCTCAATTTTGCACAACTTCACAATGACACCTAATTAAAGGCAATTACAATGAAAATATAAAATGCATACCCCAGCATAGTCAACAGTCTGCACAATGTTCTATACAATATACAAAGCCATTTACTTTCCATTCCAAAACGATAACTGTCGTTTGGCATTTCAACTCAAAATATACAACATTTTTAAAACATTTAACAGCTGCTTTCCACATTGCTAAATAACCGCAATACAGCATAGGAAAATTCATCACCCATTTTACAACATAAAAATCATCCCAATTGTTCAATGCAAGTCACTGAGGAATCTGTTATCAGAGTACAAAATTAAACTGGCTCAAATAAAACAAGCAGACAAATTCTCTTGCACACAATTTAATCCATATACTTTTGAAAAAGCATTGTTAAAACTCTACAATGCGGAAAAGTGATTGCTGTTTTACAACAAATAGCAACAAAATGGTCTATACTGTAAAGCGTACCATTCTTATTAGCTTTTTAGGGGGGAAAAAAAGCATTAGGACATGTTGATTTTGCACTTACAAATATCCCCAAAAAAAAAAATCACTGGAAGATGGAGGAGTGTAAATTTTGCCAAAAATTAGATTTGATAAAGACCACTCCTGACTGATAGACACTTCTTCCCCAGAGCAATTAAAAAAATTTACCTCCAGTCATGCATTAAAAATCATGTTTTAGCTTAACGTTCAATAAGTGGATACACAAAGTACCATATCTGGTTTCCCCAAAAGAGCTCTGGAAATTAACTCCAGAAATCCAGAATTTCATCAGTTTCCAATTTGCAAGGCGCCACATAAAAGATTATTCAAAGAGCTAGTGTTGCTAGCGATATACTAGCATTGATAGCAGAATGGCTAAAAACAGAGGCAGAATAAATGGGTCATTTTCAGTTGGCAAACGAACTATTGGAATACCCCAAGGATTAGTGCTGGAACTTCAAATATTTACAATCTATATTAATGACTTGGATAAAGGAACAGACTATAGTGCAGCCAAATTTGCAGATGGTACAAGGATAGACAGGAAAACAAGTTGCAAGGGATATACAAATATTCTGCAAAAGAATTCTAAGTGCAGGTTAAACGAGCAGGCAAAAAATTTGTAGATAGAATACGTGAAGTTGTCTTTGGCAAGAACGACAAAGCAGATTATTTAAATGGAGCAAGGCTGCACAATGCAGCAGTAAAAAGGAACCAGAGTGTCCTCATACATAAATCACTAAAAAGTTAGTATGATGTACAAGCAATTAGGAAAACAAATGGAATATTGGCTTTTATTGTACTGGTATTTCTGCTATAATGCATGTTCCATTAAAGCGAATTGGCTGTAATGCGACTGATGAATTGTGGATGCTGTTGGGATAACACGAACTTTCTACTGTACAGTACAGCAATTTCCCTATAATGCGATTTTCTATAGTGCAAGGTCACACAAGAACACAACCATCACACTAAAGGAGAAATGCCTGTAATGGGGATGAAGCACAGAAGTAGGAAATTCCTACTACACTTGTGCAGGGCACTAGTAAAACATGTGGACTGCCGTTGGCCATTTTGATGTCTTTACTGAAGCAGAGATATGCTTGCATTGGAAACAGTTCAAAGAACGTTCACTAGGCTGATCCCTGTGTTGTTGTAAAAAAATTTGAGCAAATCAGATTCATAGTCAATTGAAAGAGAAGTACGTGATAGCTCATCTATGGAATTCTCATCCTGAGAGCAATGGAGGCTGCATCATTGGACATATTCAAAATGGAGTGAGTCAGATTTATGATCAAAGGAGTCAAAGGTTACGGAGTTTGTGCAATAAAGTGGAGTTAACGGGGAACAATCAGATCAGCCATGAATGGCAAAAGCAGCTCAATGGGCCAAAAAGCTTACGCCTTTGCTTATTTATGTCCTCATGATCAGACAGAATACAACTATGTATTCATGCAACAAAATCCACTGGCCCAATTCCAGGTTACGTCCAGAGTACGATCCCATCAAAAAGCTCTGAGAAAATTCTGGTTTCTACCTTTAAGCTTCTCATATTTCTAAAACAAATACAAATAAAGCTGACAAATGCTAATTTTCAAAAAAGTACACAATTATAATAAATCATATTCCATTTTAAAGCAACTTCTCATTGAAATGCCCCACATCTAAAGACTAATACAGGTACTAATCTCTGATAGATAAGCGTTTATGAAAATAATGTCAGGCTGTAGACCAGCAAACTCAATAGAACTGGCTGAGACAAAGATGAAAACATCATCCTCAGTGCATGAAGGAAAGTGTCAGATGTATCATAGAAAACTTATTTCACACTTCCCCATATATATCTGCTCAGGAATAGTGAATCCAGACAAACAACCAGATTCTACTTTGGAGAACAGGGCTTCAGTTTATTTCACCTCCAGTTGTCTCCTGAATAGGTTTTATGGGTTCCGATGCAATTGCAAAAATTTGCACTAGTTTGGGTATTACACAAACAGCATAGCACTAAGTTTTTACTATTTTAACTTGGCATTCAGAAAACCTGTATGAAGGTTCTCCAAGAGTTTGCAAAGTCTATGATGTTACAGAGCACTATATTGGTCAAAGAAATCTCATTAAACCAGACTACATGCCAATATTTTAACAACCAGCACCATTAACAATCAATCATTCTCAATTTAGCATAAAACAATTTCCTCTTTTAGTTCAAAAACTCCAGTTGATCAACAGAAAAATGCACTCTTTCAACAAGGCATATTTGCAAGGTCAGGGTATACGAAGATCACCCACACCCAAATATAACAAGCTCTGTCCATAAAAGCAAACTGAGATTCAGTGTTACTTTACCAAAGCCCTAAAACTCAAGTAGACTGAAGCTCAGTTAAATTGCAAGTAAAATTCTCATATTTATGCCATTTACTGGAGACTTCATAAGCCACTTACCGGTGTAAATTCGAAGTTTTTCTGATTCGCTAAGTTTAGAATGTACTCCAATCGAAACTGATTCTCTGGATTGGCTAATGGGACTGGTGGTACAAGTGTATTCATTGCACCCACTATTGTCTATAATAAAATTAAGAACAATAATTCAGGGTCAATCATTTAGATCACTGTCCCCTTCTTCTCCAATCCCCAACCCATTTGGTTGACTCACTGGACATTACATTCTAATCAATTTCTAGCCTCCGTGATGCTGTTTATTATTCAAGAAATGACATAAGGCAATTTTGCACTGGCACGGTCAGCTGGCTATTCAACAACAGAAGTCACAATAAAGAGTTTGGGTTGATCCTTTTTGCATTGATCACATTTTTTCCAACAGGGATAGGAATCACAAGCAGGAGACCAATTTACAGCTCCCACAAATATCCTGATTCCTTAGGTCAGGGACATACCAATCTCTGCCAACTCAAACCAATATTAGCTTACACTGATGATAAAACCTGGGACATGCCAGAGATCAGTTCTAAGAGTAACTGACTCAATTCTATAGCATGAGCTCCAAAGATTGTGAAACAGAGCACAATATGAACTTCAATGATGTGACTGATGCAAGAGTCACAAAATTTAGATTTCCTGCTCTGCAATCTAATATTCAATCACTCAAGTTAGCAAAGCTACAATAAATATTACTGACAGAAGCAGAGGAGGCAGAATGAGAGTGACTCAAACCAATTCTTATTTGATCAGTTGTAATGGTGGAAAACATTACATCATGATGGGTTTTATCTATTCTGATACACATGGACATGGTGAAGTTTGAAGTCAGAACTATTAAAAACAAACAACCAGAATAATACTTTATTAGTAACAGTTGTACATAAATAAGCAAGCTAGGTAAAGACGAAAGAAGGGCTTACCTCTATAGCTTCTTTAATATTATTTTTAATATCTTGAATTTTCCGTTTTTTCTCACTATTGAAGAGAAGTATTGAAGAATTATTTAAAATATTCACATATTACAGTAGCAATTACAATTGGCAGTTCAAAGATTTTACCCATTCATAAATACAGTTCTGTCTTTTTGCAATTTTTTTCTGATTAAGGGCAAAGTACATGGTGGCTCAATGGTTAGCACTGCTGCCACTGTGCCAGGAACCCAGGTTCAATTCCAGCCTCAGGTGACTGTGTGGAGTTTACACGTTCTTCCAGTGTCTGTGGGGTTTCCTCCAGGTGCTCTGTTTCCTCCCACAGTCCAAAGATGTGCAGGTAAGGTGGATTGACCGTGTTAAATTATCCATACAACCAGATACTCGTAGGCTAGGTGGCTTAGCGATAGGAAATGCAGGGTTACAGGGACAGGATAGTGGGGTCGCTCTGGGTAGTATGGACTCGACAGGCCGAATGGCCTGCTTCCACACAGTAGGGATTCTATGAACACTAACAATCAGTTTTCTAACCTCCAGAAAGAGGGGCAAGAGTTTACACTTCACATCTATACTAAAGTTGCACTATAGTTCTAGAGTTGGAAGTCTCACATTACTTCACAGCAACAAGAGAGTACTGTCAGCCACTGGTTTAACTGTGTAAAGCATTATCCTAATGTGGTCTCAAATTTAATTTAATTAAATACCAAGGGAATCTATGCTGTATAAACGTCTAAAATTAAACTACTGGGAATATCATAACATGCACATAACTCTCTCCTGAGCATAAAGTTCAAATTCTAGCTAGACAACTACTAATCTGAGACCAACGGTTACAGTCTAAATACAGAATAAAAAACGCCATAAATAAGTTACAGATGAAAGCACATTTAACCTGTTCGCTTTTGCAGAAAATGTTACTTTGTTAATCCCCTTGTCATGTTTCATTAGAGAATCCCAGGCTTCCAAAGGATTCCCACTTAAGGTGCTGACCAGTCAAAATAAAGGACAGATTTTTTCAGTGGTGTGATTTCTATTAACAAACCAAAAGTGAGCAAAATTGTAAAAAGTATGATAATAGCAACTAAATTGCAAGATGCCAATTCGCAGTACAAACAGTTGAGCAAAATTAGTGCAAACCTTCAAACTAAACAATCTGTATTTAAATAGCATCTTTAACGCATTAACATCCCAAGCTGATTCACGAAGTGTTACAAAGCAAAATTTAAACACCAAATAAGGAGCAACCAGCACAGATGAAGAATTGCTTGGCCAAAGAGATGGTCATTAAGAAATGAAGCTTGTACGTTGAAATCTACTTCAATCTTGAAAATCTCAGAAGGAAACAAGAAATTTTGCATAAATGTTGAACATTTGAATGCCAATTGCATTGGCCACTGAAATTTCCACTTGTGGTCCAGTTGATTATTAGAGGAGCCAGGGCCACGGTATCCACCGAGACTTCAACTTTGAATGCATTTAAAATAGCGAACAAATATTTTCAGTAAATGTAGTTCAAATGCAAATATAACATTTCATAAAATGCACACACATGAAACTATGCTATTCAGTATGGGGAGGTGATAGCCTAGTGGGTTCGAATCCCTCCACACACCCCACCCTGCGGGTGGAATTTGAATTCATTAAAAATATCTGGATTTAAGGGTCCAATGATAGACCATGAAAAACTCATCTGCTTCACCAATGTCCTTTCAGGAAGGAAACTGCAATCCTTACCTGGTCTGGCCTACATGTGTCTGCAGACACACAAACGTGTTTGATTCTTAACCAGCCTCTGGGCAAATAGGGATGGGCGATAAGTGCTGCCTAGCCAGCGACAACCTCATCCCGTAAATGAATAAAAAATCCAATTAATAGTGAGCATTTGATTAAGAAAAAACACTTGTGCAAATTAACTGCTTCCAACGCAAGTTATGAGAAATGAATTCAAAACTATCAATTGTATTCAAGCTGTTGCTATATAGAAAAGGTAAGCTTAAAAGTAGAACAGATAATCACCGTTTACAAAAAAGGCGTGCAAAATATTAGTATGTTTATGTCTAAGATTAGCGTGTTTAAATTTGTTGTAACACAGGCAGCCATATTGGAGAAAAAAGGGGGCCATGGCAGGAGGCAATCGGATTGCAAGCAGGGAAACCAAAACCAACTGAAAAATGAAAAGAAACACAATAAGGCAAACCCAGCTCAGCCACATCGATATGAAATAAGGAAACTGCTCTGGCTTCACAGGAAACCTTAAAAACAATATCGCCACTTACTCGGCATGAAATCCATTGACGTGTAAAATTCGCATCTGCTTGACGATAGTGCTTTTACCGGATTCACCAGCTCCTGCAAAAACGAAATGCGATTTTGAATAAAATAATTCTCAACTCAAAAGCACAATTTTCTCATGTTTAGACCCACAGTAAAAGGCTTGGGTTCTTTCTTTCTCCAAAATTCTCAAAACAATAAATTTTAAAAAAAACATTTCACTCAATTTATCCACTTTCTCGGCGTTTCTTACACATAAGATTAGCTTCTCACTACAGGGTCCTCTCCCTTTTTCCTCCAAAAAAACTTCACGACCCACCTATCACTTGAGCAGCAGTTAATAAAATCTGGTATTCCCCCTCCCTCCCCTACAGTTTACACCACTTTAAATAATAAAAACAGGCTTCAAAAATACACAATGTCAACAAGCCTAACACTTCCAACCTTCTCAGAGCAACTAAGTGTGTACTATCTGACTTGGACCCATTTTATATTAAAACCCATTTCCAGCAACAACCGGCCTCCATGTTTATACAGTTAGCAACAGGCCCTTCCACCTCCTCAAACCCTCCATTCAAAAAAGCAACACACATCTCAAAAACAAATAACGCGACAAATTTACTGCTTTAGGAAAGAAACATCCAGAATTTGAAGGACCCACACAGGCAATAACAAAAAAAAATTCCCTTCCAACGACAACAGCAAGCCTCCATGTTGTATTATTTTTATATACACATACACAGAAGCTAAAGCCCAGGAACCTGCAACGTTTATTTTAAAAAAACATCCCCACCTTCACAGGTCTTTCTCTACTCGAGCTATTTAAATTAAAGATTGGCTTTATTGTTAAAAAAAAAGAAACGAAGAGATTGTATTTATAACGCCCCCCCCCCAAACCACAATCTCCAAGAAATAAATAATTTAATTCACACCCACATCAGGCCCTCGTCTCCCCCAGCTCAGAAGCCATTTCCCCACCGTGGCCTGTCAGTGCTGCGGCTTCGAGATGGTTCTGCAGCCGGCTACCGGCTCGGTACTTTTACCCCGCCTTGAGGAGAAGGGAGGAGGGAGGAGGGGGGAATTATCGGTTTCTTTCCTCCCCAATCCCCGGGGGGGTCCCAACTCCCACCTCAACCCTCACACCCCCAGGAGAGGGGTTCATCTATATCCCCCACCCCAAATCCCTAAGGGTTCTAACCCCCCCATCTCACCCCAAGGGGATTTCTAACTCTTCTCCCCGCTCACCCTTGGGGGGGGGGGGAAAGGTGTGTTCTAGTTCTCCCTCCCTCACCCCGAGGGGGTTTCTAACTCTTCTACCCCCCCAACCCAGGGGCAGTTCTGACTCTCCACCCCCTCACATCAAGTGGGGTTCTAACTCTTTCCCCGTCGCCTCAAGGGATGTGTGTTCTAGCTCTTTCCCCACCCAAAGGGGGTTCTAGCTCTCGCCCCGGGAAGGGGGGCGGCGGGGAGGTTGTTCTAGCTCTTCTCTTCCCCCCGCCCCCACAAAAACCTGGGCACATACCCAGCAGCAGGAGCCGGTGTGTCGCCCGGTAGATCTGCTTGTCCTTCTGCAGCTGCTTCTCGATTTTCTTGTTGGCTTCACGCTGCGCCTTCTCCTCGTTTCTCTGATCCTCGGTCTTGCTGTTCCCCAAACACCCCATGGTCATCCGAGAGACGAGCGGCCAGCAGCAACCGCCGGGCCCCCGCTGCACAGCCACCCCTTCAGCGCCGGGACGACGCTCGCGCGCGCACACACACACACCCCCCCCGCAAGGAACGGCGAGGCAGGGAGTGAGCGTGAGGGGAGGAAGAGAGCGAAGGCCGGGCCTCCCGCTCCCCCGTCAGCCGCTAGGCCCCGGACCCACCGAGTGTACAGCGCCGGGCCCCCGGCTCCTCGTCAAGCCGCGAGAAGGGGCCCCAAACCCCAGGGGCAACTTTTCCTTTTTTATTTTAAATCCCCCCCCCCCCCCCCCCCACCTCTACACCCTTAGTCGCCGCCCAAATAATAAAAGATGGAGGAGAAGATCCAGCCCAGATCGGGTGAAAATTATTAATGAATAATCCCGCTCGGCCTGCCCTGAAATCCAGTCAGATCCAAGGCCGCCCGTTTTCCTTCACTATCGACACTCCCTGCCGCTTCGGTTTGTTTTTTTTTGTTTCCCCCCCCCCCCTAAACCCTCCTCTCCTCTCCTCCCCCCGCCAGGGGAAGGCGGCTGGCCGAGTTTGGAGGGGGGGAGGGTGGCTACAGGCTGGGCTCGGCCGCGGGAGAGTAGGGCTTCCTCTGTCGCCGAGGGATGGGCATAGACCGGGGACCCGGCTCTCTCTCGCTCGGTCCCTCCTCCCTGGGCAGGGCTGGAAATGGGATGGGCTAGGTAGGGCCGGCCCCGGAGACCCTCTCAGTTGTGGCGGGGGGGGAAATATCCTTTCAGCAGCTCCTTCCTTCCCTTTTTAAAATGGCTCGGGATGGTCTGTGGGGGTTTTTTTGTCGTTGTTCTTCTGTCCGGGAATTTAAAGCAGAAATCAATATCACGAAGGTGAGAAATGGAGGCGGCGCCGGCTCTTCTCGCTCTATTTAATTTCTCTCTTCCTCTTCCTTCTGCTGGTGTCCTCTCCTTGCCACGGAGTAGATGTCCTCTTGCTCGTTTTCTCTTATTTTTCCTCTCCCCGGGTGGATTCAGCTTTCTTTCCCCCCTCCTCCCCACAGAACAAGACCACTTTCCCTCTTCCCTGGGGTAAGCTCAGTTTCCTTTCTGGGTTGGTTTTCCAGTGTGTGCAGCTTCTGCTTTTATTTGCCCGCCGACTGTTTGCTGTCTTTTCTCCCCCGGTGTAAATCCTGCCCCTTTTGCTGGCAGTCTGGTTTGTGGTAAACACAAGCTCAAGTCTTCTGGATATACGGGGGGAAAAAAGCATCTCCTCTTCTCGTCCCCAGGTATGTAAAGCTTTTTTTTTAAAAAAGTTGAGGAATATTTCTACATAGTATATTTATCTTATTACACCGAGCAGTCCTGCCTGCTGCTGCATCTGTAGAGAGGCGGAAAAAAGCAGAGAGAGACACACACACAGTCAAACGGGTGGGGCAAACAGCAAGCTGTACCATGGGTACCTCTACTCTCACATGATAACATAGCGTCACTACACTGCATGCCAAGGCGCCCTCTTTAAAGATTCAGACAAGGGGACCAACGCAAGCAATATGTAATTAAAGAAAATCAAAATCCATTAAAAACTAGAATGCTAAAAAGGGTTAATGTTTTTTGTGTTCTTCCACTCCAATCTGCATTTTCACCTTTAACATGTCCAGATTAAGGTTTGCCAGGATACCACTCAAGCATACCCATAAACTACGGCATAATTGTCCATATTTGCAAAATTGTGAACATAATTTGGCATATTTCCATCTTTGACCTGTACTTTTCAGTGGTTGACACTATATTGAAGATTAGTGCACAGAGCTTGTCACCATAGAAGTACCTCCCATACATTTTGAAAACCAGTAACTTTACATCAATGCAAATTAATTCAATAAGGAGAACTGTGCATTGTACGTTTTGTTATTTTTATGTTGAAAATCACAAACTGACATTGTGCCCAGTTTATTTTTACTGATGGTTCAGCAAAGCACAAACTGGGTGGAAACAAGATTGGCCAACATTTTTGCTTAAAATCATATAGAATTTGTCAGTATACCTACATAATACAGACAGTCATTATGATAACAAGACTACTGAAGTATGAAGGATGCCACAGCTGAGTCCAATTCTCCCCTAACCAAGATCACGGAATTATAAGGGGTGCTTGTGGTGTGGTAGTTGTGCCCCTATCTCTGAGTCGGGAGGCCTCGAGTCAAGTCTCACCTACATCTCTGAAAAGCTGATTTAGAAAATAAAGCAAGGTTTGACTGAGTTCAGTTTCCTGTTTAAAAAAGAAATCACTGAATACTGATCTATTTTAACCATACCTAGTTCTAGCATAGAATAAAAAATAATTTTCGGACCAAGATCGGCAAAGTCAACTCAAATCACAAATGAAATCTGTATACAAACATTATTGGAAAAAATTGTAAATCTTAGTGATGTGTGTCATTATTAATGTGTAAATTGACTAACAAGTTTAGAGGATAAAAGTTTGAGCTATAAATCTCCAGAATTAGCAAGTCAATTTACGCCACTCTGCTGTTTGCCTCGCAGAAATAGCATTTCATCCTTAGCCTCGGTTATTTTGAAGAAGCTGTTAGATTTTGATTTTTAATACTTACCCTTCTATGCTATGATGACTTTACTCACTATGACTTTACCATTATATTGAATGCAGAAAATTACCATTAGTAATTAATAACAATATACCCTTTTTAAAATGTGATAATTGATCAGTTTTACATGAACAATATTCCCACTCTGGAAAAGGAACAATTTAAACTACTGTTTCTCATTCTTATGCAACTTGTTTTAAAATTTAAAATTTCTGAAAATTTAAGCTTGTTAATGTTGACTGTTCTATCTAGATCCAATTTTCTTCCCCTCTTTATTTTCTTTATCTTATATTACTTATTGTCCCCTGTTATTCTGTTGGTTCTCTCTAAACTTTTAAATCTTGTTGGTTGAGCAGATAAACTGACAGTGAATGATATAAACTAAGGTTGAGATGCCCTGTTATCCTCATAGCAGTTTCAGCACTTCCAACAGATTACAGTACATGTTGTCCAAATCAAACTGAAGGGTGCTGGCTAACTAAAAGCACACACTACATGATGCTACCTGTATGTGGCTCAGTGGAATGCTTTCACTCATTAATCCATTGAAAACTTCAGATGTGAAATTATCTGCCAGTCAGATTTCCACACCCCCCCACAGAGTACTGAAACCACTCTCAAAGTCATAAATTACATTTCTATGTGACCGTAAACTGTCCCTTTTCATTCTTCTTGATTTGACTGCAGCTTTCATGACATTTGAAGGTGATGTCAACTGAGGCTCTATTGTTGTCCAAGGGGTGAACTGCTATCACTGATGCTATTGTTGTCTGTTTCATTGTAGCAGAGAATCACTTGCATTTTTTTTTCTGATTCCCAAACTTTTAAC